CGCAGACCCAGAAACTCATTGTCTGAGGGCCTCCTGCTCATCGTGGGCTCAACACTCTCTACTTCCAACTTGGATCATTTCCAGGATCCAGTGTCATAACAGTTGACATGGAAAACACTTGTTAGTTGCCTAACCAGCGTACATCCTCTCACCTATTAAGAGAAAGGGGTTTGTTTTTACTGTTTTTTAAGGCCATGGTACAGTAGCGATGCCTCTTTCTAGAAAATGACATTTCTGTTTCACTGGCTGCCAAGAGTGTCATGGCACAGAAGTCTTATGAAAACACAATTACTAGGTTTCTGAGAAAGCTTTGCTTTTATAATATAGACCCAGTCTTTTCTGGTTCTCTTCTTGAAAGTGGGTTGTGTTGTCTAGAGCCATAGCAACAATGCTAGGACTAAAATCACAAAGCATCCTGAGTCCTAGGATCACTTGGCCCCCACTGTCTGTGATATGAGAGAAAATTAAACCTCCATCCTCTTTCTAAAAAATATTCATGTGAAGAATTATTTTTAATTTTTAAGCTTTATTTATTTCACGTGTATAGGTGTTCTGTCTGCATACATGTCTGTAGATCGCATGCACGAAGCGCCCATGGAAACCAGAAGAGGTTATTGGATCCCCTATGACTGGAGTTACAGATGTAAGATGCAATGTGAGTTTCGAGACTCAAACCCTGGTCTTCTGGAAGAGTAGGCACTGCTCCTAACTAATGAGCCATCTCTCCAGGCCCCAACCTCCATTCTCTTTAAACCACAGATATTGTTTGGTTTGGTTTTGTTGCATTCATTTAACAACAATCTCTGTTGTATAGATACAACTTACAAGCAAATTACCACCAATTTCCAGAGAGGACCATTAGCTGTTAACCAGCAGCATAAGGCATTAATCAAGATCCTTTATATGAAAATAAAATTGTAAGCCCATGAGATGACGGTGATGTGTGGTGTATGTGTACATGTTTATGTCCGTGTATGCATGTATGTCTGCATGAATGTGAAAACCGAGATTGATTGATGTCAGGACTCTTCCTCAATTGCTATACAGCTTATTTTTTCATACAAGGTCTTCTCACTTTATTTGGCTAGGTTGGCTGGCCAGTAAGCTTCAGGGATCCTCTGGTCTCTGCGTCTCCCTACATGGGTACAGGGGACCTCATGCTTGCATGGCTGAGACATTTTCCCCAACTTGATCTGGAAAGATTTTTTTTTTAATATTTAAACACACAACCAGACACCACTCAGGAAAACTCAGACATGATGACAGCATCAGAAACATCCTCTTTCTGAAGACCATGAGAGGTCCCTTCAGACTATGACACTTTGTTGGGCGTTGATCTATGGCCTCCCAGGTCCTTTGTGTTAACAATATGGTTTGCTTCTTTCCAATAGGCCATATGTCATATAATGTTTGTGCACATGTTTAGTGGCAAGGTGTCTTAGTCAGGGTTCTTATTGTTGCAACGAAACACCATGAGCAAAATGCAAGTTGGGGAGGAAAGGGTTCAAATGTGGTGGTATTGTGTTCCCCAAAATATTGTGCACGCTAATAAACTTATCTGGGGTCAGAGACAGAACAGCCACAATATTAAACATAGAGGATAGGCAGTGGTAGCACATGCCTTTAATCCTAGCTTTCCAGAGAGAGAAATCCATGTGTTCAAGGATACAGCCAAGCATGGTGACTCACGCCTTTAATTCCAGAAAGCGAGCCTTTAATCCCAGGGAGTGGTGGTAGAAAGGAAAGGTATATAAGGCGTGAGGACCAGAAACTAGAAGCATTTGGCTGGTTAAGCTTTTAGGTTTTGAGCAGCACAGTTCAGCTGAGAGCCATTCGGATATGAGGACAGAGAGGCTTCCAGTCTGAGGAAACAGGACCAGCTGAGGAGCTGGCGAGGTGAGGTGGCTGTGGCTTGTTCTGGTTCTCTGACCTTCCAGCATTTACCCCAATACCTGGCTCAGGTTTGATTTTATTAATAAGACTCTTTAAGATTCATTCTACAGGTTTATTTGGCTTACACTTCAGCACTGCTGCTCATCACTGAAGGAAGTCAGGACAGGAACTCAAATAGGGCAGGATCCTGGAGGCAGGAGCTGATACAGAGGCCATGAAGAGGAGCTGCTTACTAGCTTGCTCCCCATGGCTTGCTCCAGGACCTCCAGCCCAGGGATGGCACCACCCACCATGGGCTGGGCTCTCCCCCATTGATCATTAATTGAGAAAATGCCTTACAGCTGGATCTCAAGGAGGCATTGCCTCAACTGAGGCTCCTTCCTGTGATGACTCTAGCTTGTGTCAAGTTGACACACAAACCAGCCCATACAGAAGGAAACTAGGGTAAGTGGAGAGATAGTTTAACTGGTTCTTATTTAAGTGGATTAACCAGAAAACACCAGCTGGAGAGGTGAGGCATAAGCCGCCTCATTGTGGGTATGCAGGGTTGAGGGGTTGTGGGTGGGGTGGGGGCAGAGTTCATGGCTGTGGACCTCCTGTGAGCAGCCCAGTAGAAAGGAGTAAACGATGCAGTTCCCACACTCTGCTTGGATTATTCCCTATCCATCTGAGCTGGGTCAAAATGCTCTGTGAGGGTGGAACATCCCCAGTGCGAACTGAAAAGGGGCGTTTTGAGGTTGCAAATTATACCGCACTGCCTGAGCAACCTATTTTAGCACATGAACCCCTAATCCAAGTGAAGAGTGACCGATTACTCAGAGCACTTGGCAAACTTGAAGGATGTTGTTGCATTCTTCCCTTTCGGATGCATCTTCTTGATCATCCTGCTTTGTGAGGATTTTTCAGTATCGTCCCGTTAGACACAATTGTCTTGGCTATGTACACAGCTGGTCTCTACAGACAGTTGTCCTATAGTGTGGCTCCACCCCCACCCCTTGCTCCAGGACCTCCAGAACATCAGGCTGGAGCCTAACATGTCTTCAGCATAACAGTGCAGGAGCCAAGTAGGGAAGTTCCTTTTTCTTTTCTTTTTGGAAAAAGGGAGAGAAAGAAACATCTGTTATGCGCGGTTGAGACATCTGTTATATGTGCGGTTGACCACATCTTTGGCTTACCCTTTTCCTATTTGGTAGAATCCCATTATTTTAATGCCACATTCTCAAAATAGAAGGCTGAAAACTACACGTCCCAGCTGCCCTTGCAGCTAGATACAGTTATGTGCTGGGGGCTCACCAATCAGACACACTCAGTTATGACTGATTTGTGGGTGAGCTCCAGAGGAAGAGGCTTTCGGGGTTCCGTGTGCTGGGCTGTCAGGTGATGAGAGGCAGTGCCTACTGGATGGGAGGAACCTGACTCCTCAAATCATGGGATCTGAATGCTCAGGGAGCTCGACATTGAGGGCCTCTGCGAGGGACAGCAGAGTGGAGAGAACTGTTCTTACGTCTCTGCCAGAACCCATGAGGAAAAGTGACCTCTGCCAACATGGGATGTACATCTGCTCTCAGGAGACTAGCAAGCAAATGGTAATCTCACTGGGATTGTTCAACCATTGGCTCCTTGCCTGCCTGCAATGCCCCTGTTAGGGAAAGCCTCACTTGGAACACTGTTTTCTTCTTCCTGTTAGAAGTCTTCTAAGTTTACCCTCTTTTATTAGCAGTATATGAGGTTTTAGCCGACACAACTCATGATCAAGTTTGTTTAGTTTAAATGGTTGTGGGGGCCACACATGTGTATGGGCCCTGCTCTGCCTTGTTCCCTTGAGACAACATCTCTCACTGAACCTGGAGCTAGGCTGGCAGCCAGCAAACCCCAACAATCCTCCTGCCCCCGTGCCCCACACTGCTGAGGTTACAGAGTGGGCACCACCACACCTGCCTTTTTATGTGGGTGTTTGGACAAAACTCTGCTATTTATGCTTGTGCATCAAGCACGCATGAATACCCACTGAGCCACGTCCCCAGCCCTGTGAGGTTCTTGTGAAAGAGGGCCCAGAGAGCCCAAAGGCAGAGGGTAGGGGCCCTAAAGCAGTCATGGCACAGAGAAGATGTGTCTTACAGCTCTCAGTTTGGCTAAGTTTTCAATCAACAAGGTTTTTAAAGACACTAGAACACATCAGCTCTTTAATGTTTCTCTGATACAACTGGGGCGAGATAAATCTTTTTAAAAATTCAAATGCAATTTTTCTTAAACGAAGAAAGTCTGAACCATATGGCAACAAGTTTCAAAATCTGTTCATGTGCAAATGTCACGATAAAAATGGGGCCAGGGAGTGTTCATGGACAGCCAGGCCACATTCTTTGAAAACAGGAAGGAAATTTCCTGAATTCATTCTTTTCGTTATATGGGGAGCCTGAGTGGATCTGGCCTGGTGAGCTACTACTCCTCTCAAAAACAAAACAAAACAAAAACAAAAAACAAAAGCAGTATTGCTTGCTACACATGCTGAAAGAAGATTTAAAATGGAGTGGTACAGAAAACATATGTTTGGATTCCAGTTCCATCTGCCTCATAACCTTGGGAAAGTCAACTGACCTCTGTGATCTTTTGTCTCCTCGTCTGTTAAAGGAGGGTGAGCATTTTCAGCTCCTGGGGCCATCCTAAAGAATATATCATAACATCAGCCACACATGGGGTTGTACATGGTAAGGACTAAAGATAAGGAAATCACTAAGTGATGGAGAAGGCCAGCTTCCATCACCAGCCCAGCCCACCTGATGACTTTACTCACTACAAGAATTCACTAAGTAGCCCTCAGAGGTGACAGCTGGTGATTCCTCCTACCTTAATCAGTGAGCACCAAAGTATGTGGTCAAGGTGTTTTTTTTTTTTTTTAGTTCTGCCATACTATCTTTTCATTTGGAGTTGAAATAGGAGGACAAGTTGCCCTTTGGGCAATGTGATTAAGTAAGCTTTTATTGTGAATGATAGCAGATTGGAGCCCTGAATCCAATCAACAAGAAGCTTAGCTGGAAAAAAAAAAAAAAAAGCATTCATTGGAAAGCTTTCTAGGCAGTTGTTCACAGAAACAAGTTCAAACCAGAAGATGCTGCTTGAAAATCATGAGTTTAGTCATGGTTGAAAGATACAAGAACCGTTAAGTAAATTGCACAAGGAAAATCTGGTTGATGGGCCAGCGGAATTGATGTTTGCAGAAGTCTCTGAAGGGTTTTGTTTTGCTCCTTGGAAGCTGTCCTTGTCATTGTCCCTTCAGCTGGAGGTTCCTTCCTTCCCCTTGAGAACTTGGAGCAGAGAGTCTACCATCTAAAAAACAAATATTAGAAATAGTTATGCACACACACGTGAGTGACAAGGAGTCTAGTGGTGCCCATTTCCGGTAGACCATCAACATCACTTGGTAGAAAGGCAAATTCTTGGGTCAACTCCCAAATCTTCTGACTTGGAAGTTCTGGTGAGGAGCCCTGTGCTCTGCCTTCACAAGTCTTCTAGGGGATTCAAATACAGTGCTAGAGAAGGACTCATACTTCTGAGAAATGAAGTAGCTCCTCCCACCACCTCGGAATGGCGCACTTGGGGGGCCTCGTGTTATGCTTGCTAAACTTGTCTTCTGATCTAATTCCTCGGGTGTGTTTTGACCATTGTTAAAAGTTAAAGGTTTTATTCGGTATTAGAATAGAGCTGGGGAAGGAGACAAGGGCACTATGGAATGCTATTTCCCCCCACTGCGCTACACTAGTCAAAGCTTGTTTCTGAATCTACAAACCGAACCAGGAAATGATAGCAGTGTGGGCAACTCAGGAAGAGGAGTTCCTCTGGGTCTCCGCCCAAATTCTAAATTTATTGCCATTTGCTTGCTGTGGCTTCTGCTCAATTTCACTGAGAATAAAGGAAAAATCATTACAGTTTTTAAAAACTTTATTCCCCTTCAGCAAGTTTTACCCAAAGAGATGAGAAACTAGATCTTATTATTTTTAACCCAGACAAGAGTTTATTACTCTTCCCAAGATTCTCTGGCAGTTTCGTTGCCCTGCTTCCAGACTGGCCACTCGTTTCTAATAAGGGAAGGAAGTACTGCTATTCTTAGGCAAATGGTACCTGCTCGGCAGCTGGGCTGTGTGCAGCAGATGTTAATGAGCCCCGGGCTGAGGATGGATTCCCACACAAGCCAATTAGCTTTGCCTTCCTCCCTCAGAACCAAGACTGCAACCACCTGACGGCCAGCCTTTTTTAGATTCTACCACCTCTCCTGCCAAATGACCCAATGGCCGTGGAAGGAGCCAGCTGAGGATGAGGAGGAACCCCACCCCATCCCACCCCTTCAAAATGTTGAACTGAAAGTTTTAGTTCAACTCAAAAAGGGGTAGAAAGAAAAGGAAGAAGAAAGCAGAGTATGCTGAGGATCAGGGTCCAGCAGGCAGAGATGCTGAGGGAGGTATCACTCCTCCTGCACAGAAGTTGTTGGGGTCATTGGAGGATTGTTGGTTATTCTTGATTTATGTTGCTTTCTATGTGAGACTCCCTTGGGGACTGCTCGAGTTTCGTTTCTGTTACTATGACAGAATGTCCCGAGTGCGATGGCTAATCTTGGTTGTCAACTTGGCACACCTGGGAAGAGGGGCCCTCAACTGAGGAACTGCCTTCATCAGAATGACCTTTGTGCCTGCGGGAGAGGACATAATCATGTTCGCTGGTTTTTGTAGGGGGAACAGCTCACTGTTGGCAATGCAAGCTGGGCAAGCGAACCTGGGCTGTAGAAGAGAAGGTGCTGAATGTGAAGCAAGCCAGTAAAGCTGTGTGCCTCCTCCACGGTCTCTCCTTCAATTCCCGCCTGCAGGGTTCTGCCTTGGCTTCCCCCAGTGATGGACTATGACCTGGAAGTCAAGTAAGCCCTTCCTTTCCCTTTTCCACGTTGCTTTTGGTCATGATATTTATCACAGCAACAGGAATCAAACTAGAAAAATACTGAAAAAAAAAATAAAAGTAAAAAAGGCAACTTGGGGAGAAAATGTGTATTTTAGCTCACAGTTTTGGGTTACAGTCCATCATAGCAGAGAAGTCAAGGTGGGAACTCAGTCACATCACACCCACAATCGAGAGCAGAGAGACATTAATGTCTGCTTGCGTATGTTCCGCTTGATTCCTCCACTCTTATACAGTTCAGAAACTCCTTCCTACGGAATAGTGACACCCGCAGAGGGCAGGGTCTTCCCACATCTGTTAACCTACTCAATACAGCTGTTCACAGACATGCCCCACAGACATGCCCACAGGCCAACCCAGTGTAGATGACCCCTCATTAAGACTCTTTTCCCAAGTAATTCTGGATGGTGTCAAGTTGACAATGAAAGCTAGCCATCACAGGGACCTTTCAAACATAAAAAAAAAAAAACAAAACAAAAAACAAAAACAAAACCACCCACTTCCTATGCCTTAGACTGATTTTATCGGTCCATAAGAGGGGTCCCTTTAAAATGAGGACAAAAGCTGGGCATGGTGGTACATGCCTGTAACCTCAGCTACATTGAAAGCTGATGGCAGGAAGTTCACCAATGCAGGACTGCTTAGACTGCATAGCAAAGACTCTGCCTCAAAAAAAAAAAAAAAAAAAAAAAGTGAGGGTACACCTACATATCTTCCCAATCAGCCTCTGCAAGTTCATCCCCAACCCCTGTATTCATGTCCACAGATAAAAGGAAAAGCCCAAGGCTGCAAAGAGCAGTAACCAGGCTCTCCATTACAAAGAAATCCTTCCTTGATTATCAGAACATTCCACAATCATGTCCAAGATTATGGGTTAGGCCCTGGATCTGACCTGAACCCTATCTCATGCTGTAGAAACCATGGAGTAGAAATTCCATTATTTTCAGGATAGCATTAAAAGATTGGGGAAAGGAGAATGGGTAAAGGAAAGATGAACATTAACTCGAACATGCCTGGCCATTCTTGCTGGCAAAGCTCTGGGGCCCGTCTGCTCTGAGCCAGTAGTCTGCAGTCAGTGCACATTCCCACACACCACTCTGAATTAAGTAAATCTCTTTGCCATCAAAACATAGGAAATTCTCAGTTTCTAACTACAGCTCTGGGTGAGCTGGCATCGGGACTGGGTGTTTTATGGCTGCTGGGAGAGAGCAGAGCATGTGTAGAGAGGTTTTCATTTTAAGCAGAGTCCTTCAGCTTCTGAAAGCTCCTGCAGCTAATTCTGGTGGTTCTCGGCTAGATTATTAAACTTCTCTCTGGCACTGGGAGATCTATGGATTTCTAATAGACCAGTTCTCTCGGCACTCCTTCCTTTTTGGGTAAGATAATTATAAAACGGTTTCAATTTTCACAACAACATATTTTCACTGAGGCAAAATGTCCAAAGCAAGAGAAACAATAAACTGGTTTGCTCTCTAAAGTTACTGTTAAATTTGTTTTTCAAGGTTCTGGGAAATGTATCCAAGAGAATAGGACTGATGTGTTCGATAGCTAATTATTCAGCTTGAGGTAGAATTGAACGGGATGGGCTTTTAGAAAAACAGTGCATAACAAGATAGATCAGAAAGCAAGGCCTGGCTCACTAAAAAAGAACCTTTGTAGTGTTGGGAGAAGTAACAGCCACTTTCCAGGACTGTCCCCTCAAGCCATCCTATAATAGTGCCACATGGAGACCTCTGTGAAGTTATTCTTTCATAATTCTGCAAAGCTTTGAATATTCTGCTGAATATGGGACATTGAGGGCCCTGGAGAAATTATTGGATTTTTCAGGAGTCCAATGATTGGCAGAGGCAAGTTCAGGTGACAAGGCAACTCCAACTGGATTCTGCTGTTTGCTCAGGACAATGAGGCATTGTTGGAGCTGGAGGGATGACTCAGCTGTTAGGGACACAAGGGTTTGAGTCCCAGCACCCATAGGGAGGCTTACAACCACCTGTAACTCCAGTTCCAGGGGATCCAACACCCTCTTCTGACCTGCAAGGCCAGGCACACACATGGTGGACAGGCATACGGGCAGGTAAAACACCCATGCACCTAAAATATAAATATATCTTTAATTTCTAAAGAAAACTAAGTGCTGGAGAAGAACGACACAGTTGTGTGTGTTCAGAGTGTTTTATGAATGAGCTACAAGAGCGTGTGCATTTTCATCCTTGTAGAAAGTTATCTTTGAGGGCTGTAGGGCTTTAGTGAGTTTGGTATTCCTCGAATAAATAAGAACTATGCACGTATTAAATATCCACTCCAGGAAAACATTTGACCAAGAAAAAGTGTGGCTGGGTAGAGGCTGAGCAGTCAGTTACAAGTTCACAGCCCCCTCGGAGCCAATGAGCCTTTGACAGAAAAGGAAACTGACCATCTGCAACCCCATTACAAGAGATTGACTCAGAGGTCTGCGTAATTTTGGTACTGATTTCTGTATTGGTTGATTTGATCTAGATTTTTTTCTTCTGAATAAAAGCTACTGTGGGAGCCCACAAAGGTTTTCTAGTGAGATCTGAGCTTGCTTTACACAGCAGGGCTGCATTAGGGGATGGCTTGACCACGTGCATGGTCACCAGGTGTTTGGGGAGGTCTTTTGCTCCACCCCTTGGCATTCCTTTAAAAGCCCTTTAGTAGAAGGGGCTAGTGGGTTTCGACCCAGGCCCTCCCGAGGCTATCCTGTGTTTCTGTCTCTCTCCTCTATGTAGCTATCTACACATTTCTCACTTCTCCCTCCTCAAGAGTACCCTGGGGGAAAAAGGGGGAGCTGGTCTCCCTCAAGCTACTAAAGGCTTTTTCTCCAGGTGTTTCATGCAACAAAAGAGACTTTACTTTGCCCTTAACATCAAAACTTCCCCCAACGGCTGGGCAGGAAGTGAGACAGAAAGCAGCCCTCCAAAATGGTTAGCTCTGAGCCCCTGGAAAAGGCCATCAAAGAGCTAACCAGCGTGACAGAGTGAAGCAGGGAGATCTCTGAGCCCTGTGAATGACAAGCAAGCGTTATCCATTTTCAGAACAGAGCAAAGCAAGGCTCCCTTCTCCCTCCTGCAGTGTGAGGCTAGCCTGGGCTACAGATAAACAAAAATTCTCATGAAAACCATAATCACTGTTTCAAATGAGCATAATTACTAGTAAAAACTTCCTAAACTGGACTTTGGACCTTAGCTTTTTCTTCTAAGAGAAAAACTATTCTATCCAAAGAAAAGATAGCATGAAAATTGAATAGTAGCTTGCTCGGCCCACGTGGGTGTCGGCTTAGCGTGTTGACCATACAGACTTCCCATCATGGTCAGTCTGCCTTGTCAACTTGACTGGGTCTGGAATCACCCGACGGGCATACTTCTGGGTGTGTCTTTGAGGCTATTTTCCAAAAATCTTAACAGGGGGGAAGACCCATGCTGGATGTGGGCGGCATCACCCCCAGGGTTGGGGTCCTGGATGGACTGAAAAGGCAAGAGAAACTGAGCGGAGCTCCAGCATTTATCTCTCTGGGACACAGCATGTCCGGGCACCTCACGTTCCTGCTGCCACACCTCGCCCCCTCTGGTGGACCGTACCCTCGGACTGTGAGCCACAGCAAAGCCAGCTTTTCTCAAACCGCTTTCGGTCAGGTATCTTGTACAACAATGGGGAGGGTAATAATAATAAGCAGTTTATGGTCCCCCGATCAGATCCGCCCCACCCCCACCCCTGCAACTCTCCCTAAATACCGCCCACCCCACAACCGAAGCGTGTTTGTCTCACCTTTGCGTTTGGAACATCCTTAGAGTAGCTGCCATCTTCGGAATCCCAAGTAGGCTGGTGCTGAGGTGGCTGATGGCTTCTGTTCCCCACGGCTTCTAGGAGACCCAGCAAATTCCTTGCCGCTTCCTCCCAGCGGATGTATTCCCTCAGCTGCTCCTTCAGGCCGTCTCCCTCAGACTCATACAGGGACGGGAATTCATCGGTGCTCTTTTTCCCCATTAAGTGTCCTGTAAAAAACGGAAGAAAACCAGGATGCCACAAATTCGACCAAGGGGAACGAAAGAAGCAGCCACTGCAATGGACGCCCGTAGAGGTGGGTTCTGCTTCCCAGGAAAGGCAAAATCAACGGCATTGTTTATTAGGAGTTAGTCTATACACAACACACAAACTTTCCTTTCTGTTCAAAATGGGGAGTAAACTGAACAAAATTCAGACCTGTGTGTGACTCGGGAGCCCTGGATTTGGCTCCAGCACCTCTGCTGACTAGTGGGGTGACCTCAGACAAGCGCTGTAGCACCTAGCCTTCAGTATTGTCAACTATGAAAGGAAGAGGGCAGGCCGAATCACACCTAAAAAGCTTCCAAATGGGAAGGCCTATCAATTTTGTGTGTCCAACTGAAAGGCAGGCTCCCGACGTCTCCCACGACCAATTTCAAGTTTCTGCTGAAAATCAAAGTCTTGATGTGTTCCTTTGTATGATTTTTTTTAATGTTGTCTTTCTCTTATCTGTAATACAATTGTACCAAAGGAATCTTTCATTTAAACTTTCTCAGAATTTTAGCTGAAATTGAATCTAGAAAACCTCACCTGGAAGGGATGGTGGGTTAGGAGAGTAATGAAAAGCAAGTCCTGACTGATGTTCAGCAGCCACATCAATTTGGAGGTTTCTTTCGGGTCTCTGAGAATCTCTCAGTAGTTCTAGGCACATGTGCCCACTTTATAAATGACTTAATTAGTTAACCCTACGAAGGAGGCCAAAGTATTGAAAACAGGGACATTCACTTGTCTAAGTAGTTGGTGGCCAATCCCAGGTCTGCACTTTTTTTTTCTACATTTAGTGTGCGTGTGGCACACGTGCGTGCGTGCGTGCGTGCGTGCGTGCGCGTGTGCGCACGTAACATCACAATGCATGTGTGAAAGTCAGAGGATAACTTGTGGGAGGAGGTTCTCTTCTTTTACCATGTGGATTCCAGAGTTTGAACTCAGCTTGTCTAACTTGGTGGAATTCACAAACCCCAAATGTACATATTCCTGTTTTGTTTGTTCATTCATTCATTTGTTTTCTGTTTTTTGTTCATTTGTTTGTTTTTGAGACTGAGTCTCACCATGTAGTCCCAGCTGGCCTCAAACTCCCTAAGATCTGCTTCCCTCTGCCGACTGGGGTCTGGGATGAAGAGGTGCACCACCACACCCAGCCAGGTCTGAGTTCTTAACACTTTCATCCTTTGGATGGACACACTTAGGCAGTTCTCTGTTCTCAGTTTCTCGGACACAGAGCTTTATTCTACTAATAAGCCTTTAGTGCTTTTGATTTAAAGTGGACAGGAAAATAAAGGTCTCGTGCTTCCAGCACTAACTGACATTAGACACCGTCCAGGGAAACATTGCAGGACTAAAACTTGAATGATTGTCTATGGCTTAAAATGGAAAGAGACCCTTTGAAGCGGCACTGTCCACCTTCTTTCTGTCTGTCACGTGAGCTGCAATCGGTGGACTGCAGAACGCTTGAGCGTGGATACTTTAATTTGATTGACACCATAGTCGGGTGGTGAAGGGGGATTTTCTGAAACCTTCGAGACGTAAGCAAAGGCTCTAGGATTATAACAAGGCTAGGGTCCAGGTTCTAATACATTATACTGTTTTGAAGAGTCTTTTAAGTTCCCGGGGTTTTAAAACAGCGGAGCATCATCCTCGGATCTGCAAATAAGAATATGATTTACAAATAGCTAATGTCCTAAAGAGGAGCAAGGACCGTATATCAGTATATCATCTTGTGAATTGAAAAAAAAAAGTGAATTCTGTTAGTATTAGGCAGTCTTCAAATGAGATTTTGAGTGAGGACTTGCCACTCAGGAGAAGAGACCACGCTGCTTGAAGAGCTTATTAAGGACACTGTCCCAAGTGAAGGCTTAGACTCTTACATTGTTTCAATCATCTGCTGGGTCAACTGTGGCCCAGCTGTCCACAAAATAGCCATGCATTCGGCCCTCGTGGTGATTATGTTGTACAACTTCCCAGGAAGCTGATGTGCCGTCAGCTTTAGTTACACAGAGGAAATTGAATCATGATGAGTAGAAGACAGCATTGGAACCCTGATGCTCACAGTAATTACCTCAGTCACTCTTGGAATCTATGATTGCCTGTCATCTAGTTAGGATGCTGAAAATGAGAAACGAGTCACTGCCAATAAAGCAGTGGGGTGATGGAGATAATTTTATGAAGACCTCCACTCTGCTACGCTGGAATACGTTTGTGGACTTTTCTCTAATGGGAAAATAGAGCCACTGCCCATCTCATTATTGATCTAACATAGATCCTGATGACACCAGACTGAATGTCAGTCCTTGCCTGCCAGCGATGTGCTGTTCAACTGCCCACTTCCCAACACACACACACACACACACACACACACACACACACACACACACACACACAAACACACACACCAGTTATTACAGGAAGTGCGCCATCTATAACATCCCAGAGAAGCACACATTCCCTGGGTCCTATTTCATTCTTGAGCTTGCTACTGTCAACCAAATCATCATCTCCATGGCAACATGGACAAGATACCCACTTCCACTTCATCTCCTATCGTCTGTCAAACATCCATATCAGGATAATGGAGATCTCAACACAGAGAAAAGACAAGTATTTAAAATAATAATAATAAAGCTTTGCTCTGGATGGAAATAAAAGAGAAGCTTTTGTACCTTTAAATTGTATAATATACCACCAAAGGGTGGGCTTGAAACATAAATTAATTTCTTCGGAGTTGAAACTAAAAAAACTATCCTAATTTGAGAAAACATCATTAAGATATAAAATATTGTGTACTTCCAAGAAATCGTATTTATGGGGTAGAGGAGATGAGTCAGTGATTAAAACACTTGCCAGTGCAAGCGTTGGGACCAGACTCCAGATCCTGAGAGCCCGTGCAAACGATGAGTGGGCCTGGTGGCCTGCCAGTAACTCCAGCCTCAGAAGGTAGAAGCAAGCTGGCTAGCTAGACAAGCCACATTCAAGATTTCTGGATCTGATTGAGAGCCCCTGCCTCAATGAATAAGTTGGAAGGGCAATCAAGGATGATTCTAGGCATTCCCCCTACACACACACACATATGCCCACAAACGTGCAAACATGAACACACACCCCAGTTCCTAACACACACACACACACACACACACACACACACACACACACACACACACACACGGAAATAGAAGATGGAAAAATAGTCTTTATAAGCACATACTGTAAATTTCAGTCTTTGATGTAGCCCTGTGGTGAGTGTGAATCTGCTCTGCATCCAAACAGTGATGTCACCCAATTCAGCTTCCCAAGTCCTGCTCCACATCAAAGCTAGAGCCAAAACTGGGAGCCTTTTGGGGAAGCACAGAGAATAGTCACTAGTTTTTGTGTTGACTGTATGTTCACCACACACACAAAATATTCCCATGAACACAAAGCCCTGCAGGAGAAGTGTGGGCAGTCTCCTAGTTCTCCATTGCTTCTCTCAGCCAGGAAGAGTAACTCCTTGAGAGAGTTGTCCTGACAGTTTCCTTGTGGACAGCAATAGAGGAACTAAGCATGGAATGATGGCAAATGCCTGTGATCCCAGCACTACAAAAGCTGAGGCAGGAGGATCACAAATTCAAGGCTAGGCTGGGCTACATCATAAGGTCTGTCTCAAAAAAGATAATGGGTGGTATAGCTCAGTGATAGGGCACTTGATAGCATGGGTTCACTCTTAGCATCACCAAAATTCAAACAAAACAGAAAAAAAAAGCAAAAACAAAACAAACAAAAAAAAACACAAAAAAACACCCTGAGCTATCTGTCTTTGGGAATTGGGGAGGAAGGGCATTGTTTTAGGATATTTTAAAACTAAAATTAATTCTCCCATCCCTCATCCTGTTGATGCTCTTCTTCCAACAGTACCTACTCAAAATGCAGATGTTTGGGGCTTTTTTTCCTCACACACAAGTGTGAGACCTGACTGGGCTTTGTAGCAAGTTGGAAGGTAGGCTGGGCACCTTAGGCAAACTCTTGCCTAAACTATGTAGAATCCCAGAGGAGGGCTGGGATTGTAGCTCAGTAGAGAGGTCTTGCTTATGTGAATAAGCCCTGCATCCCATCCCCCACAGTTAAAAATACTGAATTGAGAAGAGTGCATTTGAGAATAAAATTGTAAGTGATGTTTGTGGGACCACCGTGGAGGGTGACTGAGGGAAGGACCCTAAGTATTCCAGGGCAGGTGTGCCCCCTAATGACTGTGGGTCAGCCTCAGCTGGGCATGCACCACAGATAGGACACTAGATTCCCACCCACCTGTGGGGCTTTTGGTCCTCAAGGCTTAGCTGGTAGTTCACGGTCCCTTCTCGTGTGACGATAAAGAGAGAAAAATGATGGAGTTGGGAGTACCCATTCTCGCTCCCTGCCCACTGAATGGTGGCTGGATGAGACAATGGCCTTTTAATCTAAGCCCTGGGAATCCCTTTCTGAGGATGACCAGCTCTAACGTTGGGTTCCTCAGCACCTTTTCAGTATTCTTCATTCAGGAATCACCCCTTTCTCTGCTTCTCCCATGCCAACCTGCGCTCCACTCTCTGTCCAGACCCCTGGAATTCTAGTGGCCCTCTGAGGCCACAAATTCTTTCATCCCTGGGACTTTTAGCAAGACCTCCCAAAACGATAAGATGGCATCCCAGTGCTCTTGACCTCTCTGGCAAAACAGAACATGAAAGTCCAGAGGCAGAGCTTCCAGCCTGCCTCCTTCCTTCCCCCAAATCCAGCCTCATTTTGGTACCTAGTATCTGAGACTTGGTTGAGTCATTTCCTTTCCTATACACTGTTCCCTGCTCCTAAGTACCTGACTAGGGACACACACACTGCACACACACACACACACACACACACACACACACACACAGAGAGAGAGAGAGAGAGAGAGAGAGAGAGAGACAGACAGACAGACAGAGCCCTTCAAGCTCTTTAGGGAAAGGACCCATTGCTCAGGAAATGTGAGGTAGTCACAATTAACTGGAGTGCAGATCAGGAGACCTTGGATTCAGCATTTCATGGAGGCTGTGTTTACTTGGGGAGGCACAGCACCTCCAGGTAATGCTGGGAATGGTAGCGCCAAGCTGTTAGCTGCTACTGGCCTGCCAGTTTTAGGAAAGCTCTGGGAGCCTGTGTTCCTCACAGCCTGGACCCAGCCTCACTCCTCACCTCACTGTATGTCAGACCTCTCCACCTAGGCTGGAATCAGCAAGCCCAGAAGCCCGCGCCTAGAAAACAGGACTTGTTGACAGAAGTCAGAAAGAAGAGAGGGAAGAGGGTGTTGTTGTGGATCTAAGAGACGGACAAAAGCCTGGGGTTTGGGCAGCAGGGGCCAGGTAAGCTTGGAGAGTAGGCATGATCTCTGAAATCAGTCAAGGCAGGGAGTCAGGGTGGGGGAGGTGGCATAAGGACCAGGGGAAAGAGCATGGCTTCTGAGAGAGTGGAAGGGGTGAGAAAACTCAGGAGAGTCCTTGAACCCAAGGTGGGGGACGCTGCACCCAGGTCCCCACACCCTGTGGTTCTGCTCGGTGCACCACTGCAGCCTGGATTCCAGCCCACAGGAATGGGAGTCCAGTCTATCAGGATCCTGGATTCAGTAAGGGACCTTGCTCTCCCCAAAGTTGTTTGAGAATAGAGGCGAGGCTAGGTGAACAATAGGAGGCACGGGGCAGGTGTAGAGGGAAAGCGAGCTGCAGGCGAGGTTGAGCGGTGTTGGGGAGAGAGCTTTGAGCTGGTTTGGGTGCCCCAGACGCCCCGCGGAAGAGAAATGCTCACAGGTGGGAAGCTGGAGGGAAGGGACCTGGGGACCAGTCTGCCACTGGCTAGGGACCTATCGGGTTTCCCAGAACAAGAGACGGTGGGATGGAGTTTGCGGGAGATCTGGGTGTTTCAGTAGAAGGAAAGGAACCAAGCTAAACTCCCAAGCCAAATGAAGAGTTGGGGAGAGAGGTTCCCTCCTGCTGATGTTCCCTCCCTCTGAGGACAGGAGCGCGGGGATCTCACTGTCAGGACACTTACCCACAGCCCAGTGGCTGCCGCGAGGGTACATCTTGGCTAGGACAGTCCCTCCGCCCGTGCCTGCTGACACTGGGGCAGCTGGCCCCCGGGGCGCCTGGCAGAGGACCAGCGCCAACAGCAAGAGTGGGAGCTCGAAGCCTCGCATGGTCCCGGCGGGAAGCCCTCCGAGCTCTCGGTGAAGCTGAGAGCGCGCGCGCTGTCCCGGGCGGAGCAGCGACAGGAGGGATGGTTCCAAGGAGCTCGAGCGCCACTGCCGCCGACTCCACGAGGCCCCGGACTTTATATAAAGGAAGCCTGCGCGGGAGGGGCCGGGGGCTCTTCCACCCGGGACCGGAGCGCACTGACGTCTCCCTATAGCGAACCAGGCTCCAGGATGCCTGTCCGGGAAACCATCCATCTATGGCGAGGGATGAAAGGCTGAGTATACCTTGACCCATCCCCCTTTCTCTACTAGTCCCATCCGATTCATTTCTGCTATCCCAGACGTCTTCTCCAACACGGTACGGTGAACCCCTGCTTTGCCCCCGTCCATTCCCACCACCACCAGCAGCCTCACTCGCTCTGCCAGATGCAGAACAGAGCAAGAAGGAAGATACGCTCTGTGTACAGAACTAAGCTAGTTCGATTAAACACTGGCCCTCTGGCAGACATACTGCTTCCAAGAAACGGAGCGGGGGGGGTGGGGGGGTGGGGACCGCTCTCCAGCCAATTTCCCTTGCCAGCACCTAACCAATAACTCAGTGTCCTTTAGCTACTTCACACATGCAAGGCTTCTGCAAAATTGCTCAGTTTCCCCCTGCCCCGTCTGTTCTCACTTCTGAAGACTGGTCACGCACCCCGCGCAGTTCCATCGATGCTGAGGGGACGTGCACCATAGCAATGGGACAATAAATAGAAGCTTGTAGGAAGTAATTGCCCACGGTTTGGCTGCCCGAACTGATTCTGTGGTTATGCTTGTAATAGGTGAGGCCTGTTTCTCACCGAGGGCTGGTGAACTGCCTCCCTCTTTGGGGCCTGATTGTTCCCTGTGAACATGTTGGTAGCGTCTCTGGTCTGAGCTTCTGGCAGAATACTACGTTTGTGCCTCTTAAGTGGCCACACACAACACATTGCATGGCAGTTTTCTTGGACTGGGAACGTATTTTTGTGCATGTGTCTGGTTCTAAGGAGAAAATGCTGATTTTAAGATTGTTTTTAGAAGCCAAGGAAATACAGTAATACTATCCTGAGGGAATGATCCAAGGGAAAATCAAAAGGAAGAGGGAAGGGTGGGGTGGCAGATAGACACACACACACACACACACACACACACACACACACACACACACACACACACACGCATACACAGAAGAATCTATAGTGGGTCTGGACTCTATCTCTCCTGGGTTCCCAGCCTCTGCAGCCCATCCCCAGGCTGTCTGTGAGCAGGCATTATACCTTGAACACACGCAGACTGGCATCCTCCCAAGCAGCACCCTTGGGACTTGTCAGAGACCTGGTCTTGCTTCCTTATGCACCTGTAGAGCTCTGGATCACAGGCTGCTCATCATGTTTGATGAGTGAATGACTTGTCCAAGAAACGGCAGGTCTAATGCCTTCTACACCTGTGGAGGAGCATTAAACCCTTTCCTCTGCAGAGTAAATGCTAGAGGAAGGTCCTTTTTTTTAAGAACCTTCCTTATGTTTTGAATGCTTGTTCCAGGGGCACTGCATTGGAGATTATGTAGCCATTAAAAAGAGAGGAGGCCTGGATGGCTTTTGAAGGTCAGGTGTGATACTGGTCTCAGCTTGTTTCTTCTGTCTCACAGTCCATGTCTTACTCCCACCCACTCCTGTTCTCACCACTGTGAACCCCAACATGTATGCCTTCCCTCGGAGAGCCACTGAAAAACGTGAGCCCCCTAAGCTCTATCTATTGAGTATGCTGGTCCCAGCAACACACAATTAGCCAATGCAATCCTTTTAAATGACGTTTTCCTTACAACTCCCAGGGGAAACCACAGTCCAAACATTGGTGCACAAAGAGCACAGCTCTTCTGTGCCCGAGGACACCTCGCTTTCTGTGTCTCCTGCCCGGAGCGTGTTCTCTGAAGACCCCAGCCCGCACACTTTCTGCCACCTAGCGCAGAGAGCCATGTGGTTATGTTTGCATCCTACTCAGGGAGCCCTGGTGCCCGTCCTGTTCATGGCTGCATCTTGTTCAGCCCACAAAGAAGGGATGCAGAAGAGGTGAGTGGATACAACGTCCTGCCGATGCAAGAGATGAGTCGGTCTCCACACCAGAAAGAGACTGGCCGCTTGCCAGGTAGAGGGTGAGGCCATTGTGTCTTTGGTTCAGACAGATGCATGAGCCCCAGTAGATCCTGACTGTGTGACTTCCTTGGTGCCTTTTAAAGCCATGCCCATGGTCTGCCTTTTAGAAATAATTAACCCCACTGACTAAGGGGGGAAAACTAAACTGTGAGAAAGCTCTCACCAGGCATGGTCCATGTGAAATATAACTTCTTGTTTTGTTTTTTGTTTTTTGTTTTTGTTTTGTCCAATAAAGTTGTTCCATATGGGTATTTAGGAGTCAGGATCCCTGTCATTTTGTACCTTCTCCATTCTCTAATGCAGGGAGACCTAAAGGGCATGGAAGAGCTTGGAAGCTTGCCTCGGCATACATTAATGCAGCACACCCTTTATGAAGAACATCTTGTGTCTTAAGTTACTTTTGCATCTCTTAGACAAAATACATGATAGCAACAACCTGAAGGAGGAGAGCTTTGCTTGGCTCAGAGTTTTACAGGTTTCTGTCTGCCATCGTGGGAAAAGCAGCTCATCCCGTCCTAGTGGGCCAGAAAGCATAGAGATGTGGGATCCTGGCATTTAACTGGCTTTTCCTAGCTCCCCTTTCATTCTATCCAGGTCTCCAGACCATGGGCAGTACCACCCATCTTCATAGTGCTCTTCCTTCTTGTCGATCCTCTCCGGTAACGTTCTCCCAGGCATGCTCACAGGTGCTCCTTGTTATTCACGGTGACAGTGAAAACTAACTCTCATCTAGAAGAAAAATGTCCACTGAACTAAACACTATTTACTGCTACTAGGGACTTGTAGACGGATAACAAATCCTGATCACTGAACCATACACGAGGAGCACCGTCCCGATCTGCATGGCCTGGGTTGCAGTTGGCAGGAAAGAGAAAATGAAGCAGATGCGCCTGCTTTTCTTCTTCACGCCAGCTGAGATGTCACCGTGCTCTTCTGCTCATGTCCCTTTGGTCAGTCAGCTACACGGTCATAGGCAACAGCAAGGGAGGCTGGAGGTCGCAGTCTTAATAGTTACGTACCAGCTCCGACTGCATCGCTGCAAAGGGGGCAGATGAAGTGTGATAGGCAGCTAAGAACTTGAGTGTTTGGAATGGCTGGGGTACTCGGAGAGTGCTGCAAGCTTTATTCTGTAAAATACAACTGAATTCTGCAGAACTGGCCAGCAGGGGACTCTCCTGGAGAGACACAGAGCACTTCTAGACTATCTCCTCTTCCCAATAGCGCCTGTCCCTTGGGGGCTCTCCTGTGACCACCATGGACAGCACCTCTCATGGTTAGGGCTGCTGTTGGCCAGACTAGGGCACTTTTTCTTGAATCTTTATTCCATCCAAGAACATTTCATTTGATGTTTGTTTGGGTGGGTGGGTGGGTGGTCCTGAAAGGATTCATGGAGGAAAATGACAGATCACTATACTTATTAAACCAATGAAGAATACAATGTATCCTTTATTTTGATAGTGGCTGAGAGTGGGCTAGCTTCTCAGAAAGACTCCTGGTACTCAAGCTCCAAGGGTACAGCATTTCTTACAGGCAAAACCCACAATGTCGTCAGTGTTAGAGGAAGTCTAGAATAACCTTTCGACATTTGTTTTGACAGAACATGGTAGTTATTTCAGTCACAGCATGACAATTTATTTTGATTTATACCTTTATCAGCTATTTTATTTGTACTTAGTTTATATAAACATTATTTATTTCAGTTAATACACCTGGACCATGGTCAGGGTCACGAAAAATCCCAAAGGTGCTGCCAGGGCAGACATGGCTTTAGAAGGCTGAGAAGTGTCTGAACATATGCAGTGAGGAATCAGGACAAGACGGCATTACTGTAGTCCCTTCAGTACGAGGGGTTGACATTAGAGTCTCACTCATACTAGTCAAATACTCTACCATTGAACTATATCCCACAGTCCTTTTAAAAATTTTCAAGACAGGCTGGCCTCGAACTCATGATCCACCTTCCTCCACCTCATGTATAGCTGGTATGAAAAGCATGAGTCTCCAGGCTGGTAATTAAATCTCTCAACAGGAATTTTATCTTTAGCTATTATCTACAAATGTGCTATGCAAGAAACAACACAGCCTTTAACAGCTTTCTGTGCTTCAGCAAGGCTGGGGTAGCTCTGCCAGTTTTGTGGGTGCCCTGTGGTCTTGGATCCTGACTGTGGGTTGGTTTAGATGGCTCTGAGTGTCACTCTGTTGCAATCACCAGACCGGCAAGAGCCGTGTCTCATGGCAGGACAGAGATAGAACAAGCCAGGGCTACTGAAGACCATACACTGACATTTATACCCTGTGTCACTGGGAGTTGCATGCAAGCCACATGTGTGAGCCCCAGTCAAGGTATGGGAAAGTACAGACCACTCATCACGCAGAGAAGTCAAGAATGGGGCTAATGCTCCATTCGATGGCAGTGCAGAGAAAGACAGACAGAACAATACATAGGACAATAAGCTAGCTCATGGAAGCGTGTTTATTCACCTTTGACGTGGCATCATATTGGGGACATCTAGCATTACTGTTGGGGACATCTTGGCATCTCTGTGGGAGACGACTAGGGCCACAACCCTGCAGAACTTTCTCTCTACTACCAGGTGACATTTTTCCGGGGAATTTAACAGCTGTTAAAAACTGCTACCCCCTATAAAGCATATGATATCTGTCTCTTTAGATACATAAGATTTCAGGCCAGTTTATGCCTTATAATGTTCTGCTTCAAGAAAGCATGGCTGGGTGACATGATTTGAAGGGAGAATCCCCCAAAGGTTTAGAAGGTATAACCTAATCAGGCCCATCTGTATGCTGGGAAGAAACACCGGCCTAAGCTAGCTCAATAAAGCAGGATGTGATGTGTTGTAAGACCACAGTGGGCACATGGAAAAACCCAAAGAGAGAGACTATGTCATTCATCTAAGCATCATGGTGACTGTGGTGGCACCTTGCCTCCCACACACATGCCACATGAAGAGCTTCCTCCTCTGCATGAGTGTTCCAGTCTCCTCTCTGAGACTGAAGTCTGTGTCCACTATGCATCCCCACCCCCATGGAACGTTAATCTGCTTCCCAGCCCACTGTAGCTACCCCAGCTCCTTCTCTCAGAGGGCAGATTTCACATCACCTCTAACATCTGCCCCTGCTGCAAACTGCTTGTTCCTCAGCTCCTAAACTCCCAGTCTCCAAGAGAAACGTGATCAGTCTGCATTAGTCTCATCACATAGGTTATAGGTTCCTCAAGACCTTATATACTGATCTTCATTCCACTACACAGCTCTGGTACCTGCTCAGGGTTTAGGAATACATGCATATGTGGCAGTGTCCACCTTGTAGGCTCTGGGTGGAGCTGTATTCC